ATACAACAATATTTATTGAATACAAATAATTGTTTAGTTGAATAACTCAAATGATTTAAATACTGTATAATGAAAGTATCTCTAAAAGATAATTACCGATGAGTTACATTGTAATCGATGTAATTAATTGTAATAATTATAAAATAGTTAACAGATCTTCAATTTAAAGTTTTTGATATTATATAACAAACTTTTAAGTATATACAGTATAAATTAGATCGACTTTGAATATCGTTTTGGAATCATTAATGTGTTAATCATATCTCTTGTCCTCAATTTTTTTCTTTTATTAGAATTCATGAACTTTTAAATATTAATTTGTGAACTCAATTTTATCCAAATATCTGTTTTAATTTATAATTTATAACAAATTTTCTACAAAATTATAAATATTTCATTTAAAATGTTCAAATTTACCATCAAATTTTAGGCATTTAATAAATTATTTTTATTTAAAAATATTTATATTTATTACCCATATTAATCAATACAAATTATAATATTTACGCAACTTTTTGGTCCATATTTTATAATTTATGATTAAATCTCTTGATGTAATCAGTGGACGATTTTTCCTGATGGACAGTTGGCTGCGGGCATATGAAGCGCCTCCGTTAGATCAGTCCCAGAATCTGTATAACATGTCCGCGTGGCGTGAGAACGGTATCACGACTTTGAGGTTCTTTAGGAAAAGGATTACTGGAGACACTCGAGACTTCCAGTTCACAGACACGAACTGTCCGTATCTGATATTCCCAGTGATGGGCGGCGTGTTCAATGCCGTGAATAAAAGGATACGAAAACACGAAACGACTCCAATTATATCGGACAGAAAAGTTTGTATCAGAAGTTGCAAGACATCCGCTGCCACTCAGGCGCCCGTCAATACCGTTGCCAAACAAAACACCGAACAGTCCGTCAAAACTAACGATGAAAATGTTCCTAAAGACAAAGACTCGTCAATACCGCCGATGTCGCCGACCACTCAAAAGCCTATTGAGTCGAAAACTAGAGAGAAGGAAGACGTCAATGACATCTCGTATACAATTGAATTAAAATTTCCCGGAATTTGGAGACAAAGTTTGAGTAACAAATACTCTGATAATTATAAGACAATGGTCTCTAATATTAAGCAACAAATGGAGAGTGAATTGATGAAAAATTATCCGACATTTACTAAATTAGATGTTAAGGAACTGATAGGTCATGAGACAGAATCCAATGATGCGATCGCTTCCATCAATTTAGACGTTAAACAAAATGATAACCAAAACGATAACATTGAGACATATTCTCTGTTGTCTACGGTTTTAAGCGCTATTATAAGTGATGAGAAGTTAGGAGATATACGAGTTGACCCGAAATATCTAATTATTGACAAAAAAGGTTTTTATACATTCATTTCATTTATAGTCAGCAATGTATTAATTGAATACTTTTAAAACTAAATACAGACGAAAGCAATTCGCTGAGTAAAGAATTTGGTACTCATTTCTTCAATGAAGAGCAGACCAAATGGATAATCATATTTGTGGGAATCGCAGCTCTAATCGGATTAGTACTAATCCAGGCCTGTTGTATGCTATGGAGAGATAGAAACGACAGAAAAAATAAAGCAAAACATGTAATTATTATAATTAAAATATAATTAGGTATTAGTAATAAAATGAACATCTCTTTGAATGACAGGACAAGTCTGCACCCAATTCTCAATACAAGGACTACGCGGACGTGAGCGCCAGAAGTGGCTATAGTTATGATAATTACGGGGCGTCTGATGAGACGGACACCCCATTGAATACAAACGGACAAAGTGTGGGAAGGAGTGAGAAAATGAATGGAAACAAACAGTATTACAAAAATATGGGGCCCGAGAAGATGAGCCAAAAGTACATGAGTGCCACTCTAGAGAGACAGCCCTCTCGGTCACGGATTCATGAGCTGACCACCAGTGCTTACGCCACTCATGACCGAAAAGATGCCTACAATCGGCACTTCGTTCAGCCCTCATTCTCACCACAACTTCAACCGGACTTTTACTTTATGCCCCATCAGAGGAGGTATTCCGGAGAAGTGGTCCGAGTGTTTGTCGACTATAATAATCCTCAGTTCACACCCAAGTAGACCCAAATTCATTGGTTTATTCATTTCATTATTTAATATGACTTCAAATACTCATTTCGTTCATTGGTTTCTCAGACTTTGGTTATCAAGAGCATTATTCCTGTATTTAAATTATGTGTGTTTTTTGCTCAAATGTTTATTACAAATATTATGACAATTGATTTATTATTAAAGTTGCCATTCAGTCAATTCTAAAAAGTTTTTATTTCATGTTTGCCGTGTGTACATTTTAGAAAATAATATGAACGTGTCAAAATATCTAATACAAATTTGGCATTAGGTTGTCAGTGGAGTTCAACAAATTGTTGTTAAAACAATTATTCAGATATTTGTGATATTATAATGATTACAATATATTCTATTAAATGACATACAAATGATTAAATCGGTGATAGGATTTCTCTATTCATGAAATGATTGCAAATGAAAAGTTCATTTCAATGCATGTTATCAACAAATGAATCGTTTGTTTAAAACATTAGTTATAAATCTAATTAAATGCCAATCTATTGTATTGCTATACATCTGATTAGGAATTATCTGAATATGTCATGAAATTAGGTGTTATTTAGCGTTAGAGTACTGAAATGAACAAAACCTGTTAGGATTGAGTTCATCGCAAACACTCATATTTTTGGGCATTTCTATGAGAAATCAAATATTTTAAACATTAAATAGAATTATAGTAATTATTTTAACTCTTATTAGAGATTTGTTTTTAAAATGTTTAAAACATTGATTACAAAGTGCTTTGTAGGCGTCAATCTTGAACTCAAAAAATTATCTGTAAATTATAAATACTTTACAATATTTCCACATTTAAGTATAATTTATACTTGATAATATAATTAAATATAAACATTCATAACCCTTTATGATTAAATTAAAAACGATGTTTATTATAAATTGATACTAATTTGAATAATTTTTATGTTATGCGATTAGAGTGGAATTTAGTTTTTTCTGTAACTATTTAAAATTTACAAAATATTTTACATATACATTACAAATAGGCTATATTGGAGGTTGATTAAAATATTTCCTATTTAGTCATCCCATGTACAATAGTTAAAAATAATATTATTATAATTACTGTATTAACTTATTATATAATGAGTACTAGTCTACTAAAGTTACTTATAACAAATTCCAATACTACTTAATCACAAAATTCCAATTAGTTTTCAAGAATTCATTAAAATACAGTATTTATCAACTTTACAACAAATTTTGCAAGTAAAGTAACAAGTGACTATTTTACCAAATCAAACTTTCTGATGCATTTCAATCGGATTCTTGATATTGAAAGAAATTCACATTTCAATTTCAATCAATTTATCAGTTTTTGGTCAAATATTCATGTTTAAAGTCAATGACTATTTATTTTGTTTATTCCTAATCAGTGAATACCAATTTCAAATTAATTTACTGATAAATGCTAATCAATTGATTGAATTCTAAATATTTTGCTTAAATAATTTCTATTTCACTTATTACGGTTAATATAAACTTTGCATTTATTTAAATATTTACAAAATTACAATTGCATAGAAAATAGCTTAAAATAAAGTCTATAACAATAAGTCATCTAAATATCTGTCAAACTCATCATCAATGGGTTGGTCAGTATCGGGGATGACCTGTGGTTTAGTCCAAATCTCATTCGCACCACTGGTCTGATTTACATCTAAAACACTCTTTACAGAAGAACTAACTTCTGGTTCATGGGATGTACTGACAGCGACTTCACTGTCATTAGTGATGGTGTGATCGGTTTTAGTATTTTTGTGTGATTTCTTAAGTCTTTGAATTTCTCTGCGTTTGTGTCTATAATTGAGTTTTGGTGAACAGTCGGCACACAAACGGAGTTTCACTAAAGCGCTCTTCTGTTGACCCAATTCTCGGTATTTAAACAAAACTTCCCAACTCTTGAGGCCATCCCTATTGTCGCAGTGTTTGCCACCGCAGGAGAACTGTCCCCTCCCTTCCATCACCTCCTTCTCAGTCCTCCATCTCATCCCAAACTGATTGTCTTTATATCGACTTAAGTCACAAATACAGTACTCTTTGAACAATAAATTGTAGTATTTTTTGGCCAATCGTTGACCCCATGAGAGCTCCTCCTCGTCCACGTCGTCCCAAATGAATCGGTGGTTATCTCTGAGCACTTCATACTCAGTCACGTCTTTGGATGTGTTGCGGACCAGTTTGCAAGTACTGCCCGAATGGTTGAGGATATACTCATTCACTAACAGCTTATGTCTGGAGTAGGCGTTCAATGTCTGGAACCGATTCCTTATGATTCTCTCCGTTTTGTCCGTTTCCTCGACCAATACATTCTTCGACGGCTTCTGTCGTTTGTCCGCAGACTCTGTCGACCAGTCCTTCACTGTCTGTGCCTTCCGTTTAGCGTTTCGTTGGTCTTCGGCCTCACTCTCGGTGTCAAAGTTGGAGTCATAGTCTGCACTCATGTCTGTGTCTGTCGGCAATCACCCGATTATCACCCGATTGTCACCCAATGGACCACCAGTTGAGTGACCACTCAATGCATGTCTGTCTGTGACAGCGATGTCAACAAATGGTCAGACAGTGAGACAGTGTGTCGACAGATGGCATGAGAGGTGTTTTGCGGCAAACATTCCGATCGAGTGATGCCTTCAATGAGTGAACAATGCATTCAACGAATGGTGCAAAGAGTCACTGCTTTGCCATACATTCAATACATTCAACACTCACTGTATGTCTCACTGTATGACTGTATGACTGACTGCACGAATGGGTGGACTCTCTCTCACACTCTCTCTCTCATTAACCAATCGCTGAGCGCTCTCTCACTCTCTCTCAACGTTTCATACAATACTCTCTCTCATAGACTGATAGCTCTCTCTATTTCTCTCTCTATCCACACAACTGTTAACATTAATTAGCTTTAGCTTCAGCTCTGATTCACTCGTCCACTGAATTTAAAAGTCTTTGATTCGTGACAACAAGTAGTGATCGTAGAGACACCTGAAGACAATGTCCGAGACGGCCACCAATGATACGAATGGCAAGGAGTTGGACCCAAAGGACCAGAAGAATGGCGATCAGAATGGAGAGGACGACAAGAAGGAGACACAGCCGCCCGTCAAAGAGATGCGCGCCGTTGTGCTGACCGGCTTCGGGGGTAAGTTGTCCGACACTCGTGTCCCACAGCACGTGTCTCACACGAGTTAACTCATGCCATATGTCTGTAGGCGTGAAGACCGTCAAAGTGTTGAAACGACCGGAACCGCAGCTATCGGAAGGAGAAGTACTGATTCGCGTGAAGGCCTGGTATGTGATGTTTGTGTCACTCATAGACACTGCTTATCATCACTTCATTGACACTCTCCTCTCATTTCGTTGTTTAACACAAATCTATAAATATTTTGGACAAAGAAATGAAAAACAAATTTTATGATAAACTGTTGACAGACTCCGACTCATTGAGTGTTGTGTTGACTATTGACTGTTGAGAACTGAATAACTTTTGATTAAAAATAGCTTTTTATGATAATTACAGCAAAAACAATAGGGAATCGCGATTGAGATATAGATTTCGTGAAACCCGCATTAAATAATCTATTGATTGGGTTCCAGATGTTTCACACAAAAGGGTGTAGTTTTCAGTTGCTATCAATTGCTTTTCAATTGAATTGAACAGTTAGTCCATTAAATGAATGCAGAGAGTGTTAGGTTTAAAACAAGTGAATTATTGAGTCATTTGATACCTTTATTACATGAAACCATATATTATTATACCGTAAAAACACGTCTAAACATAGAGTATCACAATGAGCTGCTTATATGATAATATTAGCTATCAATGTATTGATTTTAATTTTCTATTCGCGTCCCAAAAGTGGACTCAATTTCCCGGATTTGATGCTAAGACAGGGTGTGATCGATAACCCGCCCAAAGCCAAAGTACCGTTCATTATGGGCTTTGAATGCGCGGGAGAGATAGAGGCCGTGGGCGAAGGGGTCACCGGACTCCGAGTGGGCGACCGGGTGTCGGCGCTCTGCGAGTCGAAAGCCTGGGCCGAACTCGTGACCGTAAACGCGAAATATGTCTACAAAATACCCGCGAAGATGAGTTTCGAAGATGCGGTAGCCGTCACTCTGAACTATGCCGTCGCCTATGCCCTGCTCTTCAATGTCGGCAATCTTAAGAGCGATCAAACAGTTTTCATTCACTCTGTCGGCGGCGGAGTTGTAAGTCTCATAGCAAATGCCTTATTAATGAGTATCTCATTTGAGTGGTTACCGCTTGCTTAGGGTCAAGCATTGGCACAATTGGCCAAAACTGTTGGCAACGTGACAGTCATCGGCACCGCTTCCAAACACAAACACGAGTCCATCTCCAATGTGACCAATCTTCTGGACCACTCCACCGATTATGTCCAAGAAATCAAAAAGTATGACTCATTTAATGGTTTAAAAATTAGAGATTTACTGATTAATGTCTGATGGCTTCTATTAGGATCTCTCCGGAGGGCGTGGATCTGGTGTTGGACTGTCTCTGCGGAGAGGACGCCAACAAAGGCTACAATCTAGTGAAACCTATGGGACGGTATATATTGTATGGTATGTACGCTATGTAAACAACTGTTGAAATATTTGTTGTTTTTTATTCAAACAAAGTTATTGAATGATAAGCTTTGATGATATGATTGGATGTAATGAATGTTTGTTTGAATTACAGGTACGTCTTCTTACGTCGTCGGAGAGACGAAAAGCTTTTTTAGTGTCGCAAAGAATGTGAGTTTAAATAGTTTTTGACACTTTTGTTTGGTTTGTTTTTAGGCACTTCTAAATTGACAACAGGGGAGACCAAAAGTGTGCTTAGTTTAGCCAAGTTTGTAAGTTAAGACTTTTTATGTGTTTAAGTTTAGTCTGAGGCTTATCTGTCGGTCCTATTGCTTATCAAATCTCATAATAACATGTAATACGCTTATGTCGGGTGTTATGGTCTTTCTGTCTCATCATTTCATATGTTTAATCAATTCAAAGACTAAACAATTTCTGTTTATTATATAAAACATGTTTTGTTTTTTAAATTACTGTCAAATCTGAAATATGGATACTTTGTGTGCAGTGGTGGTCGACCGACAAAGTGAGTCCGATGAGACTGTTCGACGACAACAAGACTCTGTCGGGTTTCAATTTGCGGCAACTCCTGTACCAGCAGGGAAAGCATGAATACGTGCGCGATATTGTCGAGAGAGTCTACAAACTGTACTCCGAGGGACAGATCAAGCCGTTGGTGGACTCGTCGTGGGCTTTGGAGGACGTGGGCGACGCCATGCAGAAACTGCACGGCCGTAAGAATGTGGGCAAAATAGTGTTGGACCCCTTCAAGGAACCCATTCCCAGACCCCCCGAAGAAGTGGTCGAAAAGAAACGCAAAGGAAGTGCTAAAGAGAAGGACAACAAAGAGAAAGAAAAGGAGAACAAAGACTCGAAGGAAAAGAGTGGTCAGAGCGGAGACAACGGCGATAAGAAGGCCGAAGACGGGGCCGAGAACTCGAAATAAACGGCTTTTTATATGATTTAATAGCGTTATGCTATCCGTTGCTGTGTTGAGCTCTTTAAGCCAATCATTACACTTAACTTTGATGTCATCTCTCTATTAATCATAACTTCTGAATGTTTTGCCAATTCTTCTAATTATATGAAAACAGCTTTTATTTTGAATATATTTTAATGTAATTAATGAACAATTTTAAAATTTACTAATACTTTGTAACTGTAATCTCTATTATTATCAATACAATAATGAGCCAAACATTCCATACAAACCAAACGAAAGCAAAATCTATATAAAAAATTGTCTCAAATTCCGTTCAATTTATGCTCATTTTGTCAATCAATTTGTGATCCATTTATTTATTTGAATTGAAAATTTCCGTCATTTCTAAACAATTTACCACTACTTCTAGTCCTTTCACTCATTATTAATAATATACTCAAATCGATTCAAATCCCATTTAAGTTAATATTATATTATTATTATTATATTTCTCTTAGAATTTATCACAAAACAGATGTTAAATTTTTTTTAAAGTCTAATCAAATGAAATGTTTTTATCTCTAATTATTTGTATTCTAATGTATTTTATTGTAAATGTCTTTAAACGCCGGCAATTGTTGTGATCTATACACTGATTATACATTCAATTTCTATGAAAAAATATATTTATTCTAAAGTATTGTGTATTTCCTAAGACTTGTATACTGTTTGTAAACTATATTTTTATGAATCGTGTATTTTGTGACATCTTTTCATCACTTATTCTAATCAAAGCCATGACCTTATAATCGGTGCTTAAATTGGATTTGAATTCAAATCAAACCAAAACATAACTTATATATAAAACGCTTTCCAAATTGTTTTCGTAATTCAATTAATGTATTAATATTTTCATTGACTTGAAAATTTTATTTCAAATAAAATATACTTTTTGTGACGGTTTTAACAATTAGTAATCATTTTTCGGTAGTAATATAGTTCTACCGGTATTAATATATATAATAAAATTTTGATGAAAACATTCAAATCAAATAATTACAGTATGAATCAAATATATTGTAATACTTTAATACTTTTAAAATAATTTTAAAATACTTTAATACTTTTAATACTTAATACTTTAAATTAGGAGAAAACTCAAAATTGTGACAAAACTCGTAAATTAAGTATCGATAATGTCATCCAATAGTGGCGCCGAAGGACTGCCACCATTCAGATTGATATGCATTTCATGCGATTTGTGGTCTTGTTTTTGGTTCAGATTTTGTTCGAGATCTCTGTTGATGACAACACTTCCCTTTCTGGAGATGATGCCATTGCCGCTCTCGTTAATGATTCTCGTGTTCTCGATCTCGACCTTTGCTTTCGACAAAACAATTAACGCATTCCTGGTCTGATGTGCGCCATCGAGAACACAGTTATTGAATGACACGAACCCCTTGTGAATCATTAGAAGGCACTGGAGTTCAGACGTCGATCTCATTGTCAGACCAGTGAAGACCACTTTATTTGAGTTGCAGTTCAAGAAGATATCTCCGACAGAGTCTTTCGCTTCAATAATTATCTCATCGGCTGTTCCCCCGAAACCATTGATTTCGATATCGCGTTCAATCCACGGAAGTATTGGACACGAGTAGAGTCCGGGCATTAAAAAGATTTTATCACCGGATCTGACAGAAGCCAACGCCTGAGACAGACTGTTGTAAAACATGAGCGGAACTGTTGGGTCAGTGATCACCTAAAATGGGAAACAGTTTTCAATGATTGACTCAATCAGTGGACAAATTAACCATTACTTGAGACAACGAGTTTAGAATATCCTTAAGTGGTTCCACAGTAAAAGTCTTTCCGATTAAATGGATTTTGTTTTGCTTTGAGATGGACTCGTCTTCAAATCCATTGGTGTCTCCGGTGTTACTCCTGAGCGACGCCGCGATTATTCTCAAGTGTTTGTCTTCAAGTAATCTCATCTCTCGCTCAATGTCTTCAAGTCTGAGCTTCAGTCTCATCGCCTGAACCAAATCGGTTTCGTTGATGTAATCGATCTCAGAGTTGTCTTCAATACTGATGTCCATTGAGTCGAAAGACTTGTAGGAATCGATTGAATCGATTTTGCGTTTTATAGCCCAAGACTCGGACAACAGGTTCTTAATGCGGTTGACAGTCGACTGGGGAATGATCTTGTCTTTCATGTCAAACGAGAGCTCGAGTCTGGGTTTGAGTCGCGTCTCGACAAACACCTCGTGTCCGGCGCTCTCACTGTTGTCCAACTCATCCCACGGACGCCACAGATTCGTGTAGAAGAAGCGGATCTGTTCGATGACGAGCGCAGTCCTGTGGAACTGGTTGTCCTCGTCGCCATCGCTGATCACATAGAGCTGAGTGAGCGGTATGTTCACCACTTTGGTCTCATTCAACAGCTTCTCCTTCTCCGACATTTGTTCGGCCGTCAGTTCGCTGTCTTTGGGGTGAAGTTGTCTTAAGACCACACCGATGGCCACCAACTGATGGTGTAAGACATCGATGATCTCCACTTCCAAATCGTATTGAGTGGACAGACCGTTGCCATCATTGGGAACCGTTCGCCATATGGCGTGCCATCCGATGGGCTCAATACAAGAGGTCACGTATCGGATCAGATGGTCGTTCACCTGATTGATGGCTACGTTCGGCAGTATATCGTTGTATAGGTTTGTCAGCTCTGACGGCATGAAACGGATCCGATAAATGGACGGATATTCCTCGGAAGCCACGAACGATGTCTCCATTTGTCGATTCAATCAAATGTTGACACAAATTGTGGTCAAAATGAGTGCAAAACAAGACCTGAAAGTCGTGTCAAATGTCTAACACTTTGTCTGCAATTCATTCAACAAATAAAGCGCTCAAAAGTTTAGCGCTATTTTGTGTCCACAATATACGTGCCGTTGGTTTGCATCACATTATTGTTATTATATCATCTAATTGTCACTTAATTCATGTCCAATTAGTGGATCCATTAATTGATTGCATTTATGATATAATGTTAATATATGACATATTTTAAGAAATTGCAAATCAATGGTAATTATGACAGAAATAGGTATAAAATTTAGACATAATTTGTGTTGAATTGTGCGAAACATCTCATGCTTTGAATGCGAGACCTAAACGTCTAGTGATTTAAATCGTGAATCAATTGAAGTGATAATCAGATCCATAGCACTGGAAGAATGGAGTCGATGGACACCGGGTTCGACGATCTGCTCCATCGGGCGGAACAGTTGACGGCAGAGATCGACGGCGAGTCAGAACTGCCACGAATTGAGCGCAATCTTCGGCAACTTCTGGACGCCGGGGAACAGCTCTGGTCGCGAACCAGCGCTTCGGCCAGTCGTCAGACCAATGATGTCAGGGCTTCAGTGCTCTTGGGATCCAAAGGCTATGATCTCCAGAAAGTGAGCCAACAGTTGGACTCTTTGAGCTCAACCAAGAAGTTGACGCCAATTGAGTCGATCGCCGAAACAGACATCAAAGGCTTCCTGAAGAGCGAGAGAGAGAACGCTATCATCAGAATCATTGACGACATCCGGAAGTCGACCATCGAAAGGGCAGACAAGCTATACATGGATTCACTTCAGCGCCAATGGGAAGAAGAGAAGTTCAAAATATTGAACGCTTTGGTCGGACCTGAAGAAGACATGTCTGACTTTACCTCCAGTTTCGACATCACGAGTATTCGGCCGCAAACCATGTCTCCTGTGGTGACCCCCAGAACCCGCCTTTACTTCGAGCCAACGCTAATCGACACGTCGGCCATCACTGCCATGAATGGCACTGAAATGGCTTTCGCCAAAGAAGTGATCAAATATGTGGATAAAGTGGTCTTCGGAACCGTTCGCTCAAACATTTCCAACACTTTCTTCACGAAAGTAGCAAAAGAAACGATCGGTGAGTCACTTATGATTGATATGTGGGAAATGGTGTCCACTTTGATCTCCAATGAAATACCCGTTTCTGTGGACTGCGAGCCACTGGTCAATAGAAGTGATCCCAAAGTGAATGCATTTCTCATCAGACAATCGAAACTATTTCTCGAGAGAAAGTTTGTTCAATCGATTCAATCAGTGGTCAACCCATCCGTGGTATCCACTCTTACACCCAGTCCTTCAGTCTTATATAAACTCATCAAAGATTATCTCATTATTAAAACACCATTTTTGACAAACTCTTCACTTAATGTGTCGTTTGGTTCGAGCAATATATCCAACAATTCTGAGGACGGATTAGTGGATGGGATCCCCATTTGGTGCTTCATTTGGTACTGTCTTAGGGCTGGAAGTGTTGAGGCGGCCATAGAAGTGGCTCAAAAGGGCCCGATTTGGGTCATCAATGAGTTTATTAATGTTTTGCGAGAATACAAGCAAAGCGAAGATAAACGTCTGAATCAAAAGACCGAAAATCAGATAAAATTGTTGTATAAAAAGACAATTCGGTTGAGTAATGATGTCTATAAGAAAACAGTGTTTTCAATGCTGGGCTCTTGTGGCGTCTCTGAGTTTCCCTCCGATGTGATGGACAAAGTGGACGATTTCTTATGGCTTCGATTGAGTCAAATCCAGAGTTATGATAAGGACTCGGAGGCCAGTGAGTTGTCATTCATGTCGTCGTCCTCACCACAGCTCTCATCAGATAAATTGACTTATAGTCGACTCAAACAACAAATTAGTGAAGAATACGGCGAATCCTATTTCAACGCCAAAGACCAGCCATTTATGTATTTCAAGGCATTATTCCTCACCAATCAATTGGAAGCGGCCATTGAATTCCTCTTCAGAATCGACGCCTACAGGAGTCACGCCATTCATATCGCGATAGCACTGAACGAAATGAATTTATTGATCATTCCTTTGCTTCACCTAAAAGTGCCGCTTATCTCAAAACAAGCCACCGATCCATCGGGTGTCCAACGATTGAATTTCGCGAAACTCATGACAATATATACGCGAAAATTTGAGGAAAACAATTCAATTGAAGCCATTTATTACTTCTATTTGTTGCGCAACATTAAGACCGCATCCGGTGAGAACCTGTTCACCACATGTGTGTCCAAACTGGTCAGGGATACCAAGAACTACGACACTCTTCTCGGTTACATTGGCGAAGACGGCTGTCGTATTCCCGGCACTATTGATAAGTTCAATAACGACGTGAACGCTATCATCGATCAGGTGGCCACTGATCTGGAAGAGGGCGGCGCTTTCGAGGACGCCGTCAAACTCTATGACTTGGGATCAAAGCATAACAATGTTCTGCAACTTCTCAACAAAATGCTCAGTCCTTTAGTACCCGAACGCAAAGTCGTCGACTCCAAGAGGACTCGATTAGAGACATTGGCCTTAAAATTGGCCGAAAGGTATGAATGAATGATAGCTTTGTATGAATTTTAAGATAACTTTAAGACATTCATTGAAACAGATATTGCAGTCAAGAGAACAACGCATCTCCAGAAGTGTCGCAAACATTTTATCTGTTGATCGATTTGATGACTTTCTTTGATTACTTCCATAACCAACAGTATAACGACGCTCTCGATGTAACCGATTCTTAGATTTGTTGCGATTTTCTCTATAATTATTGTTTTATTGCAGACTATAATGAAATTAAAGATAATTCCGTTGAGAAGCGCTGACATCGATATGAAAGTGAATCAATTCAATAGATATTCAGAAGAGATCCGAAGGAATATTGCGGACATACTGTTGGCCACAATGAATATATTGTACTCACAATACAAACAAATCAAGTAATTGTTATCTCTATTGATGTATTGATTTGACTTGAATTATATATTTATTGATAAAAAGGTCTTCAACTCCGCAAACTACTAATAAGTTTGGAATCATTGGTGATCTCGACAATAAGGAACAGGTATTATTTGTACGATTTGTATGTTTATAGTTAACTTAATTTTGTGTGGTTTTGTGAATAGATTTGTGTGGAGTTGAGGGCAAAGGCGAGGGCTATCATAACGTACGCGGGAATGATTCCCTACCGAATGCCCGGCGATTCCAACGCTAGACTCGTTCAGTTGGAAGTGTTGATGAATTGAATGTCTGCTCTAATATTGTATCTGTGAATAAATATCTTAACATTTGATAATAAATATATTTCAAAACCCATTTTAAAATTCAGTTTTTAGTACCTGTACTACCGGTACTATATATTTTTAACATTGCTGTATTAAAATTGAAATTGAATTATCATTTATATGCCATTTAATGTTTGTTTTTCCTTAATTGTTAATTACCGTATAATATATGGCATTCAATGCAGCAATTTGTGCTTAAATGGTGTGAAAAGTTGAGGCCATTTAGCGTAATACATAGTTTGGTGTATACTGTTAGAATAGAGTATTTTATAATTGAGGCAAATGTTGGTTAAATTGAGTTACATTTGTGTGAAAGTTATTCATTGACTATATTAACAGATGATAATAGCAAACTAAAAGTGTTTATTAAATGAACAAAAGGATATAACAAACAAATTGATTAACTCTACAGTTAGTTCAACAGTACAGTGTATTAATGCCATAGAAATAGGAAAACTTGCGTTTAGTCTATGCGTGAATAGAGTGAATGATCCGTGAGTGTTTGTACGGCTATAGAGAAATACATGGATTTAAAATAAACAAAATGTTAAATGAATGTTAGGCTATAATAACGTAACGTTGCGGCTGTAGTGAACAACAATCGCTAGAAATAACATAACTGTTAGTCTATTATGTAATCGTATTAATGACACAAACAAATCACTCTATCATTCAATATATGATTTGTTTGCAATTCATTTGATTGCATGTTGTGTTCAATTGTGCGACAATTGGTTCATATTTAATACAATTGTTTGAATCGTCAATGAATTGACTGAAAATGGATGACAACAACCAGTTCTCAGGTGAGACACCAGTCATCCACATCTGTGTCTTCAATTATCACCACATTTACGACCATTTGGTCACTAATTAATGCCATTTTTATACATTTGATTCACATTTAAGACAATATTTTAGTTAAAATATAATTTGTAGTGAATTTAATTAAATTAATTAAATGGATATGTTTTCAGACATCTGTCGTGTTTGTCGATCGGAAGCCCTTCCAGACAAACCACTGTTTCATCCATGCATTTGTACGGGAAGTATCAAATATATCCATCAGGACTGGTATGTATTGAATTGATTGTCAAGTATTTGCGGTCATATTCATAGGATTGGTGTGTCTTATGGTGTGTCTTATAGTTTGGTCCAATGGCTGAGATATAGTGAAAAGGAGTTCTGCGAGTTATGTAACCATCGATTCTCTTTCATTCCCAGTAATTACCACTCATTTACTCATCAATTGTCTCATAACTAACACCAATGTGTTTGCAGTTTACTCTCCAGATATGCCCAAAAGACTTCCCATCCGTGATATAATCAGTGGTCTGTTTGGGTCTTTAGGAACAGCCGTTCGCTATTGGATTCACTACACTCTGGTGGCGGTCGCGTGGCTCGGAATCGTGCCATTGACTGCTTGTATGATAATTGTCTTCATATGGATTCGCCACTCATATACTAATGACTCGTTCACTGTTTGTCTCTTTAGACCGAATATATCGCTCACTGTTTAGTAATTCAATGAATTCAGTCCTCACTTTGCCGTTAGATATGTTCAGTACTGAGAATATAATATCCGACGGTTTCTACGGCTGTTGTGTCGTCACCTGTACTTTGAGTGCCTTTTTTAGTCTTATTTGGCTCAGAGAACAGATCCTAAGAGGCGGTGGACCCGATTGGCTCGAACAGCACCTCAATCTGCATCACCCGATGCCTCCCATTCAGGACAGGGATCCACAAAATGAGGACAGGAATGAGCAAAACAATGAAGTGGTAAACGATAACAATAATGACGAAGGAATTGGAGACGAAGACGACGAGGAAGAAAATGGTGACGCTTTGGATGGAATGGGCGACGAAGGGGCGGCCAATCAGAATGTGGGCGACATTATTGAGAACAATCAAAACGAGCTCCAAGTGATCGACAATCAAAACGCTGCCAACGCTGTGGCCAATGCGCCCATCGATGCCGCCGCCGCCCAAGACTGGAACCCAGCCGTTGAGTGGGACCGAGCGGCCGAGGAGTTGACGTGGGAAAGGGTTGGTCCCATAGATTGGGCTATCAATTGAATATCTTGTACTAAATGATTGTGATTTGTATGCAACAGATCTTAGGACTGGACGGTTCGCTGGTGTTTCTGGAGCACGTATTTTGGGTCATATCACTGAATACCCTGTTCATCGTGATCTTCGCGTTCTGTCCCTTCCACATCGGCCACTTCTTTATCTCCAAATTCAACTTCGAATCCATGATATCGTCCACACATTTCGATGGCTTCGTCACCACTTTGTTCGGCTATTTGGCGGTCGGAATAATTCTAGTCTTTCTTCACGCGTTTGCAGCAATCACTCGATTCAGGAGAACGGAGCGGCTGTTGGGCTTGTGTTATGTGGTGGTGAAGGTGTCCCTCTTATCAGTGCTGGAAATCGGAGTCTTCCCTCTGGTGTGCGGCTGGTGGCTAGACATCTGTTCCCTACCAATGCTCGACTCCACCATTCAGGACAGGATCAATAGCTTTCGGTTAGCACCGGGCACTTCAATGTTCATCCATTGGTTGGTGGGAATGGTTTATGTCTTTTATTTCGCGTCATTTATTCTACTGCTTCGGGAAGTGTTAAGACCCGGTGTGCTATGGTTTCTACAAAACCTCAACGATCCTGACTTCAACCCAATCCAAGAGATGATTCATTTGCCAATCATTGGACACATTCGACGATTTTTAGCCTCTTTGGTCATATTTGGCACAACGGTTTTGCTGATGATATGGTTCCCCGTTTGTCTCGTTCAGAAGATTATTCCCGAATTCCTTCCCTATAATGTGGTTCTTTCGAAGTGAGTATTTGTTTGAATCTATTTTGATAGTAATTTTCATTACAATTGTTTCATCTGTTATGCCATTTAGTGAGTCTCCTGTGAGTGAGCTTTCGTTGGAGTTTTTATTACTGCAATTGGTATTACCGGCGCTCTTAGATCACGGCCACCTCCGACAGTGGCTCAAAATGTTAGTCCGCGGCTGGTGTCTAGTCGTCTCATACCTGCTGGACATTAGATCCTATCTTTTGGGAGACATTCAACCCAATGATGAGCCAAACGATGACAATAATCAGGAAAATCTTTTACTCAACGGACAGATTCGCAATGAATTCGTGAGAAATGGTTTCATTCGTCCGAAACTATTTTCTATGCGAATATTTTTATTACTGGTATTTACGGCAATATCGCTACTTTTGGGCGGTTTCTTTGTGCTAACTGTCCCCGTGATTGTGGGCCGACGTCTTATTGGTCTTTGGATGGGAAGCGTTAAAGTGCATGAACTCAATACCGCTGCCTGTGGTCTATATGTTGGGCTCGTAATGACAAGAGTGACGACACTCTTGTGTTCGTGGATTCCTCGCGGATGGGCCGCCATCATGAAGAAGATCAATGAATGGCTTGCAATCACTTGCAAAGCCCTACTTTCCGCTGTAGTCCTCTTGGGTTTGATTCCACTTCTCATTGGATTACTCTTCGATGTGGTTATCATTATTCCACTTCGAGTTCCTCTCAATCAGACGCCTATATTCTACTTATGGCAGGACTGGGCGTTCGGTGTTCTCCACACCAAAGTCATCTGCGGCATCGGTATGTCACCTATCAATTGATTAATTGTAGCCGAGTTTGTCTTAATTGGATTTGTATTTCCACAGCAATGATGGGTGAGTGGAGACTACGGGAAGTGCTCGAAGAGGTTTGTCTATTAAATGATACAATGAGTGATAAAAGTGATCTAATTGTGCATTTGTGGACAGATATATCACGGCGGACTGACCCATATAAACCTGAAGCTAATACTGCTAAAGCTGGCGATGCCTGTTATCGTGACATTAGGTCTCATACTGGCGCTGCCCTACATCACAGTGAATAGTTTTCTGCCACTGTTTGGGATGTCGTTACAGATGCAAAACCTTCTGAACCGACGTATACATCCATTGCTACTATTAGGCACTGGTATGATATATGTAATCCATTGGCAAATCCATAAGTTCTATCGATTGTATGAACACATCAAGAATGATAAGTATTTAGTCGGCCGTCGATTAGTGAATTACGAGCATAACATTAAGCGACTAAATACTCTAAACGACTAAATCGTTTTGATTTAATTTATTGTAGATTTTTATTTCAGTTGTTTATTAAGAAATATATTCAAATCAAGTTTTGTTTTTTCAAACGCTAAATGGTTTACAAAACAAAGTATAAATGTTTACCCATTTATATGTGTATATAATTCAATGAATATTATATTAAAATTCAAATAAATATATATTTGTTTATAAAAAACGAGAATTTCAATAAAACTCAAAGATATGTCTCTTTAGTGGTGTCCTTCAGATCAACACTCGCGGCGAACCTCTGCTCCAAAGCACTCATGTCGTCGCTCTTCGCCTCCCTATCATTGGACTCGCAATTGTCTTCATTTGTCTCACTCTGTGCTCCACTTGTGGCCACAATTGCATCCAAACACTCACTTTCATTGGCATCTAAACACAAAACCATATCAATTATAGCAGTGACCAGAAGTGCTGTAAACTCTTAATTACCAATAACTGGATCCGAAGAGCTGTGAGCGTCAGGTGTGTGAGTGTCACTGAACTGAGTGCGGAGTCCGGCCACACCTTTGGTGGTGTTTGGGTCGAGGGGTTGTCGTTGTATCCGTCGGATCCGATT